TGTGTGTGTGTGTGTGCGTGTGTGTGTGTGCCAAACATGCTTTTGTGCATGTAGCAAAACATCTTATAAGTGAATGCTCCTATCCCGAAGGAGGGCTGGTCAATTGCAATAGAGAACTAACGTGTTACTTAGAATCTGGAGCGGTCGCTGTAGAGCTGATGAGTGGGTGTTGCCTTCTAGTACACATGTAGATCCCAGGTAGTTGTCTGTTGTCATTGTAGGGTGCTTTAAGTAGATAGTCATCTTGTGAAGTTTAAGGGCAGCCCCGTGCGCAAAGTCATGTGTGTGTGTGGGGGTGGGGGGGGGGGGGGGGTGGGGGGGGGGGTGGTATCCATGGTCTGCTGTATATGGCTTGAGCAGGGTAGCATGCAGAGTGTGTAATTATGTTCATGGACATGTACCGTTCCTATTTTACTCTGATATGCATAGGTAGCAAGTTGTGAGTTGTTTTGAGCAGAGGACCTGCCAGAGCTGTACCCTGGGGCAGTGTTGCTACGTACATCACTCATCTAATCATATAGTAATGACATGTGGTTGTTAGTGGAGAGCTACCTTGGTGCAAACCCTGGCTGTTATCATTGTGCTCTGTCTTGGCCAGTGTACCATCAACAAACGGTTGTGCCGGACTTGCCTCTGCCTCCATTGCAGTGAATGTTACTCGCCAATTAGTCAGTATATGGGGAAAAAGCCTCTTGTACGGGCAAAGCAAATGTGCTTACATATGACACAATATCTCAATACAAAACAAATTGGATGAAAACACCAACTTAGTGCCAAGAATCTGAAGAAAGGCTCAGTCCTGTGTTGCCACAACGGGAACTCAAACCCAGCACAAATCTAATAAAATGGCAAGTACAGACAATTGGCAGTGCAACAAAATCACCAGACGTAAGCACTAACAATGAGACAGTCTATTGTACACTTCACCCTCGTCATGACGGAACCTATTAGAGCTTGCAACTTGTCTCCATGATGCAGGCCACTTTGTCATGAACACTGCATAATGGAGACAAGTTGCAACCTTCAAAGTCCCTTTCCTTTGCCAGTGGAGTGATTGCCACAAGTTTGATTTCAAGTGGCGCTGATGCAGATATGGCAAGCTGCACTCTATCAAATTCTGATTTGTTTCGTCAATCCTCATATGGTTCAATTCAGTTTCTTTACGTTGTCACGTAGTCGTATTGCAGTTGCTCTACAGTCAGTCAAGAGTGTATTGTACACTGGGGCCACCAAAACGAAGGTTTGTAGATGAAAAACTGCTGTACCAATGAGCGACAATCTTAACTTAGCTAATGTTTCCACTGCGTTGTCAGATGATTGTATTGCAGTTGCTCTAGACTGAGTCTATAGTATATTCTAGTGTGGCGTTTGCCCATATATGTGTAGCCGATGAGCAGTGCCCCACGTGACGCTGTTGGCGCTACCTAAACAAGTGAAAAGTGTGCACACGACATTTTGGTGGGTAGTGACTGAAAATAATGCCGAATAAGATAGGAGATTCTGAGGATGCCGTCCCTGCAGACCTAGCACGGGAGCTAGAGTTAACACAGGAGATAAGTGTTACCTATTGAACAGTGCCGTACCGATGTGCGACAGTGCAAATGCTATTTAAACAGGTGAAGCGTCGCACGTAATGTGTATGTGGACAATGAGCGCAAGAATTACCACTAACGTGGCAAGTCCTGGGCCCCAGAAACACCACTCAAGAGGTGCATACTCCATGATAGTTTGAGCGCCGATAAGAATTCGCCAATATCAATACTGTTACAGTTGCTAATATACCAGCTACAACAGGAGTTGTTTGGTGAATAATTTACGATGGGACACGAACAAATCAAAATCTCAGAGCAATGGATGGAAAGAGAGAGAGGCGCACCAATAGCAAGGACCATAACACAGTCTAACGTGTTTGCTCCTGACTAGACTGTGTATGAGTCACCTCTGACATGAATTGTAGGTAAAATTACAGTAGCAAATAACAATAATGCGATTGCCGGCTGTGACAAATTACTACAGCACTTTGGGAAGCAAAGAGCAACACCAAACTGATTTATTGCAGTGCTGAAGTTAGTACCCCCATGATCAGGTCTACATAATTATGCCCAATTGAGAATTGAGGCTGTCAAGGAAATGGGCAGATATATAGAGCATCTGGTTGACTCATATGGTTACTGTTATGCCACTGGTGAAGTGTTAAATTTGTCCTAACGTACAGACAGCTCCAAGCCTACGTGCTTCGAAAATAGTGCCTGCTTGCGTGCACTGCCCTATATGGCTGTATTGTGCTAATACGTGTCCATGTTGTAGCACCTGACAGCATCTGTCCTCTTTGGCCCAGCACAAAACAAACCAGAGTTGTTCTCCATCCTGCCAAACTAAGCGTGTCCTAATATGGCATGATGTGATTTTTCATCCCTTACAGTGATGTCACCAGCATGCACGCACTTATGTTGATGGTGATGAAAGTACTGTAGTGTGATTTCAGACCAATCATTGCAGTGCTAAACTGCAGTGCATTTTCACTGCACGCTCCCAGCCTTCACACACACACACACCACCCACTATTCACACACAAACTTCCTACATGTTATGCACACCAACCCACCTCTCACTCACAGTCACAGCACACAGCCTTGGTGAGCAACAGCACCCCAGCTTAGTCGTCATCTCTAACGTTAGCAAGGTGTGGTAAAGTGGGCACTTGTCTCACCCGGTGGCTATATTCTGCTGCAGTGTTGGGCAAAGGTACAACTACACGTGGCTGAGCTAGCATGCTGTTTTGAGCTTGGTACTATGAAGCATGCTGTTAGTATTAGTAGTGTACAATCTAGGAACATTGATGGTGGGTCAAAGGAACTGTTACCAGTACTACTACTGACAGTGCTCTGTATTTGCTGCCTGCCTGCTGTGATCTGCTGAAGTCCGAGACCCAAGTCTGTCACTGATGCCGGCTTTACTGTGTGCGAGCACTATGCATTGTATGAATCAGTGTTGAAGTATTGTGCTCTGTGGCAGAGCTTTGCCTGTTGTGGTCCGGTCTGTTGCCAACTGTTGCTGTACACATGTATGTACCATGCCTGGCATTAGCAGTGTTGACCGATACAGGAAGTACTACTGACTAGATACAGACACAGCAGCCGGCTCTGCTTCCTGCCCTGGCATCTGGCCCGTAACGACGTCGTTATCTGGTGTTACAGAGTTCCCATGGTGTTTAGTATATGTGTGATATTGCGGAGCTCCTATGGTTCCGGGTGGCTGTGATGTTGTGATGTTGCTGAATTTGGAACTCCTGTAGTGCTGTGGTGTTGTGTGTGCACTGCGGCTGGGCCTGTGGGTGTACCACTGGGAAACACACATTTCCTGTCCATGTTTGCAAGACTTCCTTGGCCAATGTAAAGTATTTTTTACCCTAACCCAGATGAATACTTTTTCGCACGCACTGTACGGTACATAAGTGACAAGTGAAAACCCGCACAAAGAATACTAGTGTGTAAAAAAGGAGAGAGAGAGAGAGAGAGAGTGAGTTTAGACTTACTAGTAGCACTACTACACACAGATCTTGCATTCGTCACTGATTGGTCACTTGCCATTACTGTATTCAAACACATGTACAGTTGTTCTAATAAATAATATTTGCGGGATCCGCGTCGGCATCGCTTGAATGTTCAGAAACACATAAACTAGCCTTCGCATCCGCAGGCCACCACTATGCCTATTAACCTTAGTGGCGAATGCAGACCTCACAAGTGAGTCAGGGGAGAGGAGGTTATTCTCTCAACCAATCGGGCGTGTAACGGCCCATAACCCTGTAAACTGCATCCTTATTCTCACTCCGAGCTGTACCCAGAGTACCCTGTTGACCGTGGGTGTTGGCGCAGTTCAACACGCGTAAAAAGTCTTTTTACACGCTCCCTGCTACCAGCGCGGGTCTTGAACTCGGGACCTCATGATTCGCAGGCAGGCCTGCAAACCAATCGGCCATATGCGTTGTGCTGCTCAATGAAATCCAACTGCGCGAGTCAAGTTTTTGCACCCTGCACCAGCCTTCACATCCCAATGTTCCATGGGTCTGGGGCTGTACAGCACCTGCCCCCACCTCCTGCGTGTCTTGCTCGATCACATGTCATTGAGCATCACTGTGGATAAATTTAGAAGCCGTGACGAACTCGGCCATTTGAAATTTTGAAACCCTCTCCCACTCCACATAATTCACCACGCCACGTATTTACTGACTACGGGGTATGGTGTTGTGGATGTGGGCTAGGAGCGCAGTGTGGAGTGATGGAGTGTTTCAAAAGCACTGCAGATGTGTGCATTATAAATACGCATCGGCCAATTGCATAGTTGTTGGAGCTAAATTTGTGTCACATTGTTGGGATCTTGTTTTTTATGGGCTTTTTATGGGCTGTGGAGATGATTGTATTGAGACCTGTGCAAAGGAATTGCATATTTGTCATGCTTGCAAGTGTGTACGTATGTTCGTATGACACCAAGGGTGTGTCTGATTATGCTTGCATCCTGTGTTCCATGTGTCGATATCACGTACCCAACTGGCCCGTGGGTCTATATTCGTACTGGTCACGCTGAACCACCTGTTCACGATCCTTACTGTGTATATCACTTCTTCTTGCTACTGCATCTGGATTATGTCTGTACTTGTGCCCGCACGTGTGTTTGTGTGTGTGTGTGTGTGTGTACGTGTGTGTGCGTGTGTGTGCGTGTGTACGTGTGTGTGTATGTATGTGTGTGTGTATGTATGTGTGTGCGTGTGTGTGTGTGCGTGTGTGTGTGTGTATGTATGTGTGTGTGTGTGTGTGTATGTGTGTGTGTGTGCGTGTGTGCGTGTGTGCGTGCATGTGCGTGCGTGCGTGTATGTATGTGTATATGTATGTGTATGTGTATGTGTGTGTGTGTGTGTGTGTGTGTGTGTGTGTGTGTGTGTGTGTGTGTGTGTGTGTGTGTGTGTGTGTCTGCCGACATGTTTGCGCACACATTCTCAGATTGCAGTGTGGCAAGGACGTGTGCACAGTGTCTGGACATAGCACCGGCGTGTTTGTGGTGCTCGGATCGAGTAAGTCATGCGCACACCTTGCACACACTGGCTGCTGCCTTGTTTTTTTAATATCATTTATACTATTATTCACAAACCCAACTTGAAACAGCAATGAAAAATATCAATTGTGCACTCATAACCATGTATAAACAATTAAAATGAAACAATTCCAGAACGTTTTCGTGTGACTATCATCAGTGGAACATCGTCACATAGTAAGAATCACTAAAACAACCAGTTATATAGCTAGAGTAATATGAAAAAAAAGCGTGAGAATGCAGCACAGCTAGCGGTTATGCATAGCGCGTGTAGTGTGAACCTTTGCAGTGTATCTGAGAATGGACTTGTAAAATAAATAATTATGTGGACAAAAACAAAACAGCTACTGAGTAGGGGCTGCACTGGGCACCAGTGATGGTGAGGTTCTAGGGGCTCCACCGACGCAAGATTCGGTGTGATGTGTACTGTGTTGCCACACCTGCCGACATGTCAGTAGCCTGCCGATTTTTGAGGCATGTCACGGCCTGCCGACAATTGACCTCCTGCCGACAACAGCCATGAAAGTGTTCAAGTTTGACCTTATGCATAGTTTAGGAGTCATGATCCAGATTTTTGACTTTTATTGCGCATCATGAGTGTTTCCATAGCTCTCTCCTGAGGCGCTAAGCGAAATCATCATCCGTCTCGGGGAAAAATCGGCAAACTCAGCCTGAGTGTCACGCAAAACCGTGAAATGTTTTTTTCTTACCAGTGCCGCATGTGCTGTGTGTGTGTATCGAGGTCGCTATCTAGGGGAGGGGGGGGGGGGGGGTCCGGGGTCTGTGCCCCGGATGATGCATTTTATTTTTTCATGCTACTGATATTTGGCTAGAATGATGTGGCAACACTGTGTGTATGACATGCTCCAGTGTACTGTGCCGTATTGACTATCACCTTGGTACTCGAAGGTGGTTGCGTTCCGACTGATGCAGAAATTAAGTGCAAACAAGTCGGACAGTACCTGTGAATTTTTGTAACACAAGATATGAAGGGTATGACATGGCATGCACAAGATGTCCTCATATGTCCGTTGTCGATAGGACTTGACCTACTATAAATCTACCAATTTTCGGCCCATTCGAATTTCAGCCTCCCAGGGCTAAAACACATTTCGGCCCCGTACAATTGTCGGCATGTACTGCTGCTGCCTGTATACACTGTCACACTGAACCTTGCAAAACAAAATTTCGGCCGAAAATGCCCCGGCCGAAAATAGCTGAAAATAAAATTCAGCCGAATATTAATATTTGTTGACTTACAGTATTTTGTTGTATGTCCGCTGTTCTATATTGCCTGGCTACAGGTACAAGAGTTCCAGGAGCGGCCGAGATGTGCAACGTCTCTACCGGACTGTACAAACATCACAAACATCCAATCACAAACACCGATCAACCACACGGTAAGCAACACTGACAGTGGATCATTGTTGTTGTGGACTTTTATTTTACTTCACCAATAGCATTTTTGTAATTTTTTTTATTATTGATTCAAGCCTCTTGTGCGGGCGAAAAATACCATCTTGATCTTGATTGTATTCTTTATTCTGCTTGCCCGCCTGCCTCATGGACCCCTTAAAGCGTCACAACCCATTAAAGCGTCACAGCTGCAGTTTACCCCTCCAACTACCGTTGTGACTTGCACAATCTTTCACTCGTTAATGTGTCCATTGTTTTAACCATAGTTAGTTGGCGAGGAAATTGGCCTCGGTAAAGGCTGCTCATCTCGGCAAGCTGCTATGTGTTGGAAAACCCGAAAATATAATCTCAAATCCGTTCGACTCAGTAACTGGTGTTGTTAGTGGATATTGTAGCTCTTTGGTCCTCTGTTCTTCTTATAAATCAAATCCGCTCCTTTTGATTTTGCTGGTGAGGTTCATGTCAGGGTATTTTGTCGGGATGTTTGTTTGCGCTGTTAGATGCTGAACTTAACTCAATGTGTATGTGCAAATTGATGTGGTTTTAGATTGCATCACCAATCGGACCTGAAGTACAAGTTACTCCGCAGCAAGTCAGCGCATCCGTGAGATCACGTACGTACTACTGCCTGGTTTGCCTTGCAACGTTGCAGCTCACAACTAGACATTCAGAAAGTGGTGGACATCACGCAACTGCATTGTAAATAAAAACGGGGTTTGTCAACGTACAACCGCTCTATGCCAGTTGCTATTCACTCTTCACCAGACACTCACAACTAGACATGGAATTAATTATCACAGACCAAGACACTAACGTGTCACTGAGGTTTGACTGCCCTCAGTTGCTTTATACGCAAGCATAGCATCAACAGCAAATCTAGACTGAGCGGCTCTGCAGATTTATGTTCGATGACTCGCAAGACAACGAGGTCGGCTGATTCACAATGGTACAGTTCTTGCCTAGTCCTAAAATATCGATTTCAACTTTGTTGTTTTTGTTGTTGTTGTTTGCATACAGACGACACGTTCACGGTGGACGTAACGCTAACACCAGCAGCCAATTTCCCTCTAGATGTTTACTACTTGATGGATCATTCGTTCTCGTTCCATGACGATTTGGACACGCTAAAGGCTCAAGCGTCCGCCATTGGTAAGCCCTGTCCAACTGATGGGAAAGTCTTATGTCGTGAACAGCTTTCTTACATACAGACATGCTATGGCGAGCATGGAGAGGCTAAGTTGTGCATTCTTTCTTACATACAGACATGGTATGGCGAGCAAGGAGAGGCTAAGGTGTGCATTCTTTCTTACAAGCATTGAACGAGAACATCAATGTTCTTCTGTGAAAAAAGCATGAGAATTTTGAGAAATTTCTTTACGGTGTTACTATGTTAAATAATCGATATTCTCGCGCGCGACGTTGTGTGCTTCATGTGCCGTGAGTAGTACTGTACATTACAACTCTGATATTACCGACTCCATGGGCAGCAAGAAGCTTGTGCATATTATCCGAGGTGCTCCTTAACCCCTTTCACTGCCACTGTCGACTGCAGTCGACAGCCCACATGCACTCTGAGTGCCACTGGCGAGCACTGGCGACCACTAAAAATGCAGTTGCCTGTGCACCGTTGACTTCTGTCGACAGGCAGACTTCACCCAGTTTGGGCCATTATTTTTGAATATTGGAGATGTTTAGCCGTGGTAGAGGGTCACCGGGCCCTAGAAGAGGTCCATAGCCATCGAAATACGCTGCGATAAGTACGTATTGCCATTCGGAAAAAATTGAACCAGCGTCGTTGAAAACCCGCATCCAATTTTTAGCCGAGCGGCGCGGAAAAAATCGGTTCTCACGCACTTCCACCTCGCTGAGTCTGTGCAAGTATTTTTCTCTTTCCCCTCAACTTGCATTGGAAGGAGCATGAAATTTGGTCCAGACTTGATGCCTAGCTGTTGCCCAAGACTCCAGGCGCTTGGAGTCACGGGTAGAGACAACCAGACGATGGATTCCTCACGGACGCTTTTCACTGCAAACTTGACGGAAACAGCGCTGGCGGCGCTCACTGGGTCCGGAACTAAAATTTTCTAAGAACTTCCACGTTGCAGTGACGACCATCCAGAACGATGAAGATAATTGGGCAGGTTGATTGGGAGTTTTAGAAGTGTGTCGTTCCGAATCAGGAAGGAATGGTGGTGCAAGGATTGAGCGACAAGCTCAGCTCTGTCAGGTGATTCAAAGCACCATTCACGAACCGAAATTCCACTTGGCCAGAAGTCTAAACTCTGTACCTTCTCCCAATGCTACTCTGAGAAAACCAGGTGGGTATACGCCAGACCAAAATACCCTGCAGCAGATTCTGAGCATTTGATTACAGTGACACTGCGGTCCTCGCACCCTTTAGCGATTGCACTTGCAGAGCAACCGACGTAAACAAGACCAACGTAGACCGCTTGCACTTTAGCCGACTGGCACCCCTTAAACCGGTCATGCTCGCGTGCAGGGCGCTGATAGCAAGATGTCACCGTTGCCTGCAGTACCGGATCTGTTACTGAGCCCGAGTACGTCCTGTCTGGCGCACCCTGGGCAGCCTTGGTGCGAAAGCCGTGGGGTAGCCAGTGCAGCCGCAGCCCCGGAGTAGGAGTGGGGGTGCATAGGTGCCTGGTATGCACCCACAGGTATGTCAGCTACAACATTATTATATTCTTTCTACAACGACACCTACCTCTGGGTCAATACCTGACGATCCACTGCAAGCTGATGCGAAAGTGCATTACACCCGCGAACGCCGACTTACGATCGTTTCGTTCTCCTAGTTTTCTGATGGCGGCAAGAAGAATTGCGTCCCGGCAATGAGAGGACGAAAGTCTCTCGCAAAGTAAAGTCCTGTTGCCACAAAGACAGAGAAGAGTCCGCAAGCCCTTCCTTCTGCTTCCAGCGTTCTAGCTCTCCGGTCTACTGGCAATTCCACTGGACGAAAAAAGGATCTGCTTCTCTCTCCAAAACAACACAATACTAACTTTACTTGGCGACTGTCCGGGCCGGTCGTGTACATACTGTATGCAGCGCACAGCGCACTTTCGCACGACATTACATGCCTTTTTGCACAGCAGCTGGTGCTAAAACGCGCAGCATGCTTGTACTTCGGATTTTGCGATTCGTTTCAATGGCAATTGTTTCCTTTATGAGTTGTCTACCCACGAGGTATACTTTGGAAAGCGATAGTCCGTACAGAAAGTACCAAAATATCCATGAGAAGTTGGCCTCTCGATTTTTTGAGCTGGAGGTAAAAAGTGTCTGGCAGCTCAGCTGACAGGCTGGCAGGGAGCGCCTTGTCACCTTGAGTGGTCAGCTGTCAGTGAAGGGTTCACCAAAGAACTTCAGTCTGGATCAATTCACCCGTTCTCTGGGCGATGTCTGCACTAAACACGAAATATGTTAGTGCGTTAAAACATAAAATAAATATAACAATATAAAGTGGGATTCACTTCGGGTTAGCCTTTCATACACAAACGCATTTAGCGTGGTTGTCCCCTGAAAATCTGGAGGTTTCAAGTAGGTGTAGATAGCTTGTTTTTGGTGTGATTGTTGTCTTCCAGGTAATGACATTCGCAGAGTTAGTCAGAACTCTCGTATCGGTTTCGGATCGTTTGTCGACAAAACTACTGCTCCATATGTGGTCACGCAGAATAACACGTAAGTATGTGTGTGTGTGTGTGTGTTTGTTTCTATGTGTGTTTGTTTCTATGTGTGTGTGTGTGTGTATGTTTGTATGTGTGAGTGTGTATGCGTGTGAGTGTGTGTGTGTGCGCGCGCGTTTGTGTACGCACATATGTGCATCTGCATGTGCATGTGCGTGCACGTGTGTGAGCATGTGCTTGTGTGTGTGTGCACATGTGTGTATTGCATGCGCATGTGCCAGTGTGTAAGTTACAAGGCCATATGCCTTGCTTGATAAATCTAGGAACGCGGAGTTCAAGGTTCTTGTCCATAACAATCAGTCTAAGTTGTTCTGCTAGTTCTCAAAGAAGAGATGCCCGAAATCTGCCATACGGCTGACATCTGCGGCACAGCCGTGCTTCTATATACAATAAACCTTGGGAATACCGATTTAGCGTGTGACAACAACTTGCAAATAACTACACAATAGAGACCATTAGCAAACCGTCGGGTGCGACGATTGGGAAAAACTGGGAACGAGGCCGGCGCACGGGATACTCGAATCGTTTCGCGAGCACGATTGCAGCAGCCCCAACGGGTGATCACGAAACGATTACGATTCCTGTTGCATCACGGATCACCCGCATCACGTGCCTTTTAAAATGGTTCAACGCACGGCTTCGTGCCGTGCATGCTTTGATGATTGGAAATCGGAGCTGTCCAATCGTTCGACCGTAAGTATGACTGTTTGTTAATGGTCTCTAATCATCAGATCTAGTGATCATTTCACTGGACACTTTCCAGGGGCGACAGACATGGTACGGTCACGACGATATTGACCGTACTACTTCTTTGCCTTCAACCATTTCTGATAATTGGAAAGCTGCATTAGGTGTGTACTTCAATCTCTTGTCTGTGCGTGTGTGTGTGTGTGAGTGCGTGTCTGTGTGTACGTATGTGCATGATGCCATGCCCCTGTATTCACTTCGTTGGATCAGCGTAATCTCGCAGTGTCTGGGTTGCAAGCTTCCGTACTCATTTGAGAACACTTTCCCTCTCAGTACGGATACAGCGGGCTTTGTGGTAAGTAGATTTCGCTTCTTCTTTCGCATATCCGTTTGCCGTAATGCTGTTCGAGCCATACAAGAGGAAAGATCGAGGCATTAGCATGTGATGTCGGCATAAGTTCATTGACCATTTCATAGTTTTATCTCAGTCTGCTGATAATGTGTAATGATCAAGTTAGTGCTGTCTTCATGCAATGTAAAACGGTGGGGACAATGTGCAATAAAACAATGAAAATAGGAAGAAATAGTGTAGAGAAAGAAATGGGATTCAAACAAGTTTTCGTACAACACTCATCAGGAATCGTCGTTTTAAGTTAGTACTTTGTCTCGGTGCCATGCGATTGATTTCAGACGAGTGTGTCCTCTCAACGCATCTCCGGTAATGTGGACACGGCCGAGGGAACGTTGGAAGCGCTCATGCAAGTGTTAGTCTGTACTGACGTAAGTGTGCATGTGCTGCTCTGTACTGACGTAACTTTGTGACGATGTCGAGACCAGTTGGTCGACGGAGCGCCTGGCCCCCACCACCATGGCTGTTCCCATTGCGTGCACCACATGGCTTTTAGTAAAAAGAAAGAAAAAAGTGTGCTATGAGCATGGTCCCCCAAGCCCGTATGCGGTCACGCGTTCTGCCACGGCGCTGTGAGGAAAGGAAGAAAGATATGTTGGTGTTTGTCGGCGTGTGTGCAGGGGCAGCGGAAGGTATTTTAGTGTGGTACGGTCAGCCATCTGAAGTACAAGTTACCCGTGGGGAGGGGTGGCTAAGCCGAAGTTTTGGAAATTTAGAGCCCAAATCAGTGTATTTTATTGATTCACGGGGTACTTGTGGCAAACAGTGGTACGGTCAATACCGTAGTGACCGTACCGTGTCCGATGCCCCTGCTGTGCATGATGTGAGTGAGTGTGTCTGTGTGAGTGTGTGTGTGTGTGTCGATGGGCATGTCTGAGGTCGGAGGTGTGTGTGTGTGGGGGGGGGGGGTATGTATAAGTCAAACTGGGCTGAAATTCGGCTTCATTTTCAGTAATACAGTAGCAGGCAATGTTTGGCAAGCCATCTTTTCGTTGAGTAGGTATCAGTTGTTTCAACAGTTTCAAAAAGTAAATTTTACATCGCTTTAGACGGAACACTCAACTTTCAAATGCATTTTTCTCAACACTGCACGAAACGACATGAGCCCCCCCCCCCCCCCTTTTCGAATCTAGAGGCTCACTTTATGTTTGCTTGTGTCTTGGCTTGGTTTGTGCAGAAAATCGGCTGGAGGGACAATGCACGTCGTGTGCTGGTGGTAGCCACCGACGCTATCTATCACACGGCTGGAGACGGCAAGGTGAGTGATGCGGCCTGTGTACGTGTGTATTCTATATTGTACTTCGCAAAGTCAAACGGGATCGTTGCCCAATATTATGATAGCGAAGTGTATTGGCCAGTACTGATCAACAACAGTGGAACCTGGCACAGGTGAGCCAGCACCACAACAACAGTGGAACCTGGCCCTGGTGAGCCAGCATCACAACTACTTCTCTCATCAACTTTCTAAATTGTCGTATGTTCCGGACTATAAACTGCACCCCCATTTTTGGCCACGAACTGCAGACATCTACGCTATTTATCATCGTTAATTAGATCATCGGAGTATAAGCCGCACCCCCATTCTTTTGAGTGAATCAGTTTGTGTGTTCAAAGTGCGGCTTTTCCTCAGGAACAAGACAATAATGACATGTCATGTACTGCTCCATCTCTCCTTTTTTCTCTCCGTCTCCTTACACTGTTTCTCTTACTGCCTCCCCTTTTCGTACTAACAGTTTTTGTCCTGCTTCCTCTTTATTGTGTGCTGGCTGTTGTGCTTACATTTTTACAAAATCTTTACCTGCATGCAACTTGTAGTCTTTCTTGGTGCGTTTGTACAGTGATATATGCACTTCGTAGTACTGTGTGGGCCGTGGAGCGAGATATCTCGCCATCCGCCGTTCAGGCACACTCTCCAGAGCGAGAAATCTCGTCATTAGCACTGAAAGGGTTATGAGACCACATGTTGGTTGAGGAAAACGATTCTCACCGTCACTATCAGCCCAATATGCAACCTTTTTGTCTTGCCGTCGAACTGTGATGATTTTAAAATCACTGGTAACACAACGAATGATATGGACGATGTGCGCCCACGACTATTTCGCACTGTTTTAGCTACAACCGTTGCTGAATCACCTGCATTTGAGGCATGGGGTATAGAGCACCTTGGTTGGAAAGAAAAAAAGAAAGATTTTTGGGCCTTCCGCGTATATTGTACTGGAGGTTCATTGTAATTGTACTGATGGTGTCTCCTTGTATACTCATCTCTTTCACTTTGTTTCTCGCATGTGCTGTGTGCTTAGCTGGCTGGAATCGTCTTGCCTAACAATGCCCAATGCCAGCTCGACGACAATGGCCGCTATACGGGCTGGAGTCAGTTTGTAAGTGTATCACCGGATTTCACCGGACGTATGTCTACCACAATACTTTAGACTCTCGGATGTTGAGCCAATAGTAATATGTAAAGAGGAAAAGGACCTATAAGTTCCTAGTTATGACTAACTGTCCACCTTGTTGTCGCGCTATCTCACTATATATTATCTCATTACCTTGGTTACCTTGGTTACCTTGGCTACCTTGGTGTACTGTTAGTCATAACTAGTAACTTATAGGTCATTTTCTCTTTGCAATACTTTGGGCTTCACTTTACCGGTTCAATATCAATAGAATCAATAGGGGTTGATAAAAAATAAAAATAAATTCGACGGGTTCTTCGTGCCGGGCAGGTCAAGAACAAGGAGTCGTACAACTCCCTGGTCAAGAACCACATTTCCGCTTCCGTGGGACGCCACCACCCCACGATCAGTCAGGGATAGGGGTTGAACCCTGTTGTAAGTCAACTATCCCGTTTTTTAACTCGATTTTTAGGTAGTAAAGGTCGAATCTTGACCGGAAAGATCATTGTATTGCTCAGGCGTGCTGTGTATTGCAGTGCGGTGCAGCACCGTAAGGTTTATGAGTGGAGCAGCTCAGCGCAGCGATGATGCAAGATCACGTCCATTTCGGGCTTGCTGCATCTCCGGATGCACTTTCCATGTCAGGCCCGGCGAAACCAGCCCAGTTGGTCAGGCCATGGCTGGACCAACGTTTAGGCCAGCAACGTGTGTATACTGCTGAGGAGGTCATGTGTATACCCTCCATATCATACACAAACTGTATGAAAGGCTAGGGTATGGCCAGACCAATCCAAAACTGCTTTCGTCAGTCCTGCATATCTGCAGTTGAACTTTTACACATTTGACCCTATGCTGTAAGTCAATGAATAGTTGGCGCATATTTTTTTCGGCTATTTTTGGCCTGGTCATATCTGGCCGAAAATTTGTTGCGGCCGAAATTTTGTTTTGCAAGGATCAAGTGTGACAGTGTGTACGGGCAGCAGCAGTACAGGCCGAAAACTAGATGCGGCCGAAATGTGTTTTAGCCCTGGGAGGCCGAAATTTGAATGGGCCGAAAATGTGTAGACGTACAGTATACCAAACTGACTAGCACTGTGCCGCTGTGTGTAAGCGCATCTATTCAATTACCGTATTTCCCCGATTATAAGTCGCACTCGATTATAAGTCGCACCCCCATTTTCAGGTTTGAGCAATATTGTTTCGACATATTCACTTCAGTAGTAATTCATGCTCGATTGAAGTCGCACCCCTTTTTTACCCTGAATTTTAATGTTAAAGGTGCGGCTTATAACCGGGGAGATACGGTAGAGCAGGATTTGTCATCTCATGGCGTGTTTCAGTTTGTGAAGCAGCAACACAGTTCAGGTTGTGCGTGCTTCCCCTAGCTGCATCTCATGTTTGGCATTTAAGTGGTCTTTGTAAAAATATAAAAAATATAACTACAGCAAAAATGAAGAAAGTCAAGTGCTGTTGTTATGAGTGCACAATTTATCTTATTTATTGCCATTTTACGACTATTGTCTCCTCGTCGATTGTATAAAAAATATAAATATAAATAAAACACAGCAGCTCAGCACAGTATTTCATCAGGTGTCATGTGTTATGTTCACACACGTGTTTGCCTGTCCAGGATTACCCGTCCATTGGACAGTTGAACAGCATCATTCAGGATCGTAACATTCTGGTCGTGTTTGCCGTGACGGGCGGTGTTCGCGAAGAATACGACGTGAGTCTTGTATGAATCTCACATCAAGCATGATTGGTGATTAAGTACCACCAAAAATAGTTCTGTTGAACGGTCTCTGCTGGGATGACGGCTATACCAGAGCTCAGTGATTAGAGCATGGCTGGCTACAAGCGAAGGTCCCTGGTTCGAGTCCTGGTGGTGACAGTCAATTTTTTTTCGTCAGACGTTTCCCATTTGTGTTTTTCCCTCAAACCAGTGAAAAAAATAGTTCTGTCTTTGTTCGTGTCTAATGCATGCCCACCCCCCCCCCCCCCCACCCATTCCTCACCTCACCCCATACCCAGCTTTACTATCTTGACATGAACAGCCTTAACCAACCCTAGGTAAATCCAATGTGGATAGCAGGCAGGGGCGTAGCAGCCGGTCCGGATTTGGCCGGACTACTTTTCGCCCGACCACGAAAAAATGCCCAGAATGCAACATTTTGCACCCTAATTTCACAATTTTCCCCGGGGGATGCCCTAGCCCCCCCCCCCCCCACCCCGACCCCACCGGCCGCACGACCTCCAACGGGGGTGCTACGCGCCTGTACCCAAACACATATGCTCATGCACGCAAACACACAGCCCCCCGTCCACCACACACACACACACACACACACTCACGCATGCACGTGTGCATAGCTGCGCAAAACCAACAGGACAGCATAAGTGCAGGCAGTGCAACAATGAAACAAGTGCCATACATGTACATTAGGGAGTCGTACTCAAACTAGGGAGGTTACACGGCACAGAAATCCGTGTCACAGGGGTTGACTCGCACCCGTGACCCCTCGTTGTTATTTTTTGAATAGTTCAGTCCAGTCCAGTCCGAAAGGTCATACTCGGATCGACTCGCCTTCTGTACTTCACCTCCAAGCGTGCAGCGTGGGTGTCTAGTTTTTGAAATTATTGAGGCAGCACATTTCATTTACAGCCAATCACTCGCCAGTATTCTTTGAAAGACTACCAGCAATTCGTTTACCTCCTGCCATGTCCGAACTACTTGATAGCAGTGATGGCAACAGCAGCAGTTATGAGACAGCGTGTAGTGTTACGGTAACTGTTCAGAACTGTTCAGAGTCGTATCCTAGGTTAATCCGAATACTAAAAATTGGCCCGAATTACACATAACACGAAGCTGGTTTTTGAAAATTGTAAGTCGTGTATCTGCCCCATTTCTTCTTTATGACTTGCACAATACACCAGTCTTCCTAAATAACACATTTATAGCAGGGGTTATGTACCATATTAGAGAAGTACAGCCAATGATATTGTCATGTCTAAATATTACAATTTTGACACAAATTAGACATAACACGAAGCTTGTTTTTGAAAGTTGTAAGTCGTGTATCTGCCCCATTTCTTCTTTATGACTTGCACGATACACCAGTCTTCCTAAACAACACATTTCTAGCAGGGGTTAAGTACCATACAAGAGAGCTACATTGTACATCTAGTCATACTGTCATAAACAGCCAGCATTTTTCCTGCAGCAGTCACACCACCATCATCATTATTTCCAGGGAAATCCTCTTACATTGTCAGCTCCTACGTCGTTAGATACAATGTAGGGGGCTGTAGGACCGGCTCGTCAAAAATAGAGAACCTGAACAAGCGTGCTCGGGACGTCTCAGCAATCGTAGTATGCTTGAGCACTCCTATAAAAACTTGATCAATGGCAAAATCGTTCCCCACAGAAAAATCATACTTTGCGGGTCTTGCGTTGCACGCTTGGAGGTGAAGTACAGAAGGCGAGTCGATCCGAGTATGACCTTTCGGACTGGACTGGACTGAACTATTCCAAAAATAACAACGAGGGGTCAAGGGTGCGAGTCAACCCCTGTGACACGGATTTCTGTGCCGTGTCACCTCCCTAGTTTGAGTACGACTCCCTGATGTACATCTTCAACACACATAATATTTGCATGCGAACTCATAGTAGGGAGGACCTTTTCACTCATGATCACGAGAACTAACAACTGTTTTCTGATGATCGCTTAGTGCGTGAAACTCACAGTTAAAACACTTTCTCATCATCCTGTTATTGTTTGAACTAGCTCTGCCTCTCGGTATTGAGCAGTCTATTGGACAGCCTGGAACCTCTCTGTTTTAGTCGGCCCGTCCATCAAACTCATTAGGATTGTTTGCATCCTGTGTTTGTTTTCAGTTTGTTACCAATTTCTTACAAGGCACTATTCGCCAGGAGCTCCGTGCAGACTCTAGAAATCTCCAGCAACTTCTCGTTATTGAGCTAACTGTAAGTATCGCTGTATACCGGTGGGGGGGGGGGGGGGGAGTGCGTAGATTATGTTGGGCGTTGGGTGAATGGTCCACGCTACTCTCTCTGATTGTGCAACCTGTGCAAATCTTAGAGGCAGTCCCGCCTGATTCCTCACCAGGCATGCCAAGGGAGCTGCAAGCGTGAAAAGCATTCGGCATTCCCATCCCATCATGACCTGCCTGTCTGCAAGCCGATGCAATGTTATCACGATGCGTTGCTTTGGATCAGTCTCACAAAGTTTTTTTGATATCTTGGAGTTGAAATTTCTTAGCTCACTCTCTTGGGCTCTGGACTTGCGTTTAAGCACGGGTTGCTGTGTTGTCAAGTTGACTTGCAGGACTAGTGATGTGACCCGATAGACCCAATTCTGTTAGGTGTGTCTCATTCTGGCCAGCTAAAACCCCGAATTTAGTCTGCTTTGGTCTAACTTGGCTGAACCAGTGCGGGACCCAGGACCTATTTGGACGTGGGCAGGGCTGATTTGGCAATGAGCCTTGAGGGTAGTAGCATCTTGCTGATGTGGATAGGTCCGTCAGCTCAGTGCCAAGAATCCTTGTCCCCGATCGTGGCTTGTTGCAGAATCAAAAAGTCTTTCATTGCAGTTACACTGAACTGGCACCAAATGCCTGGAAATGCTTGAAATTGGCTTCAATTTTTGAATTTGTTTCCCCGGGGAGGGTAATGAAGAATCTCTTTAGAAACTTGAATATCTCAAATGTGTTGTATCTGCGCTCCGTGTTTACCATAGCGTCAAATTCGTCAAGCGCTGCCCAATGTGATTGTGGAGGATGGTATTCGTATCAGGAGCTTGCAGGCCACATGTCCCGGGTAAGCGTGAGGAGGGCGGTCACTGCAGCAGGATAGTTTGGACAGGTCTGTGACACACGGTTTTAGCTGATCACGGCTCATTTGTATCAGTTTGCACTCGTCAGCATACTTCTTTCAAGTATATCTATTATGTGTGCGTGTGATGCTTGAATCCTCTCATACTGATTACATCATCATTTTCTGTGTCTTGTTTGTGTGAACACATACACATGCACAGTGGGAGTAGTGAAATCGTGATTCAAGGTGATAATCTGCAGGGCTGTGATGGGCTGTTTGAAGGTGCGATCGCGCAGTTCCGCATCACTGCTGAGGCTGGCAGCTGTGCTGATCTGCAGGCTGGTGGAGGAAGGTCAGTACCTACCCATACAGATAGACAATCTCATACTTGCCTAGACACTTACGGAGAATGCATTTTTTTCTTTTTTTCCTTCTTCTTTTTTCATTTTTTTTCATTTGCGCCTTGATCCTAGAGGGTGGTGGCGTTCCTGCGGATGCGGAAAACTGGGCCTCCAACCGAGTCTGACGCGAACCGTGAATTGTTGTTGTTTTGTTGTTTACGTCAAACACTTGCCTTGTAAACACTTCCATTTGGGATTTAGAAGTGTGTCTGTGTAGATGCTGTACTGTAGTTTCGCTTCTAAATTGGTGTCTCTCCGATGCCAGACTGCACAGCCATAGGCCTACCCGAGTAAAGAATCAAAATGTGTGTTACAGATCATCATCATCATCTGCGTTGCCGAAAAAAATTATAATAGTAAAATAAAATAATAAAAAATAATAAACGGCATTCTGCAGCTGTGTAAGCAGTAGATGCACAGTGTGACTGCCAGGCATCTCTGTCAGATGCCAACTGGCAAGTCTCATGCAGAGACATACCAGTCCACGAAACGATATTGTCAGCAAAGGAAATCTTCGGACGACCACTCTTTCTCTTACCATCCACGACACCAAACATCACGTTACGTACAAGCTCGCAGCCAGATGGGCGGCATGTGTGCCCGAAATAGGTCAGTTTGCGTATCTTGACCCTGGCTAGCAGCTGTTACAGATAGAGATATTGAAAGGATACGTAGTTGTGTTGTGAAAGTGAAGGCGTTTCTATCCAGGGTCGGCTGAAATCCCAATTTGCCTTGGTTCGCTTTCCACTGGTGTTGTGTGTGTTCACAGAGCCGTTGTGCGCTTCACTGGTTTTGGAGACGTGGAGATTCTTGCCACTGGTCTGTGTGAGTGTCCATGCCAAACCGTGGCACCAGTAAGTGTAGTTTTTTTCTCTTTTTTTCTACAAAATCCACATATCTCCAGACACTGGGGTGAATAATGGAGTGTGGTGGTGGGGCCCATTAAGCTCCGCCGACCAGAGGTCTCGGCTTCATAGCTCCATGGACGCACCAAAGGGAGATTGGGTAGTACTCCCATACTAGTGTTGGTTGTACCACTACTTTCTCTACCTTCTCCCAGCCCCGTGCCATCTCCACACTCAGACAATGGAAGACTAGATATCTACATTGGACAGGCTATATTTGTGACAAGACGACTACGGAAACACAACCGGACATGACGAACTCAAGACGAAGACTACGTTTCACACCACAGCAACAGCAACACGCACATGCACCAACACCACGTACACACGATGTACACGAAATACCGTAGTACAATACTAGTAAACTTCTGTTTTCCAAACCCGCTAAATCCATTTCATCACTTTCCGGTAAATGGCCAAAAATGTATTCATTTCATGTGCGGTTTATATCTAAATCCGAATCTGAGTTCCAGTTTTGAAATGGTTCTAGCCATGTTTTGAATGTGAAATTTTGCCCGCTGGTGCCCCTAGACGTTTTGATTACACTGAGCTGAAAATCAGATTTTTTTTAAATTTGCCACTTGGCAGGTTTTGCACCTCAGCTCTCCATATACATGTATAGGCTGCCGCACACTGTAAAACCGGAAAGTCTAACGACCAAAAGGTTAAACGTTTTTGCATTTTTGGCATGATAACGGCGTTCAGAAAGTTTAACGATGGCTAGCTGGCAACCCATCTGCATGTGTATCCCTACACAGACATCTAGCGATAGCGGCTTTTTCAAATAACGAAAAATAATTGGTCGTTAAAATGTTAGACTTTGTGACTCGTTAGACGTTCCGGTTTTACGGGGTAGACTAGCACCCTGCCTGTAGTGTTTGCATCCTGTACCGCTTACGTATGCAGTTCCTCCTCGCCCTTACTCTGTTTTGTGCCCTGCGCAAGGCGTGAAGACCGAGGGAGAAGATCATGTATGACTGTGCACTGTGCACTGTGGCATCTGCACCTGTCCGGCCAAATCCACTTCCACGTTATTTGGCACGTCGTCTTTAATGGGTACTTTTTGTGTGTTGCTGCTGCTGCTGTTGCTGCTGCTGTTGCTGCTGCTGCTGCTGCTGCTGCTGTTGCTATTGCTGCTGCTGTTGTTGTTGTTGCAGGAGGTGAACTCTACTTTCTGTCATAACCAGGGAGATGAGCAATGCGGTGTGTGCGACTGCTTGGAGGGGTTCAGCAAGTAAGGCATCGTGAATGATTCTCGATTGTTTCATTGAAATGTTAATCTGCCCTAGTGCTTGAACTAGACGCAAACTGCAACTGATTTCAATTCGACCTTTTTCCTTTCTCTTGTGTAGCCGAACGATCAGGGAGATTGAAATGAACACTTTGCCCGCAGTTGATACAGCTTTCTGTAAAGATACAGATCTGGATTAGGTCCGATCCAGAAATTTACACCCTTTAACTTCACGAAATGAAGAACAAACAGTTGTGATTCCGTAGCTCTGAGGTTCACTCTTTGATTCGATGATCAGCTGAAAATTGACATGTAATTGAAAATTGAAAACTTACCCTCTATCTTCAGAAGCTGTTCGCTCTCTTTTCCATCAAACTAGGTTGGAAGATTCCTGAAGTTTATTCCTACTCTATGCAGTAGGCAGAAACTCTGCACACGTTGTGCATAGCTGGATGGGTAATTGCCACAACCCTTGCAGTTACATGGATGCAGTGAATGGGATTTTCGGTCTTTGACCACTTGCTGGTGAGCTGATCTACTCACCTCCCACCGCTTTAGGAGCTGCATCTGCGCCTTGATCCTTGAAGGGTGGTGGCGTTCCTACGGATGCGGAAAGCCCGGCTTCCAGCCGAGTCTCACGCGAACCGTGAATTTTTTTTAATTTTTCAGTTACAGTAAACCCTGACAAGGCGGTAGACTGTGACCTATTCCACCGGCATTGAGTTAGTGCTTACCCTCACACTTCCATTCACACCTTATCCCCACACTTACATCATCTACACTTGCATTGTGTTAGTTATCACCTATGCTCTCCCCCCTATATATACCATGCTATCTACTCCCATTGAGTATCTATTCCTTGACTCATCAAGTTGTTACAGCGACCACTCGGATAAGGTGACCACCTCAGTCCTGTTCCAGAAGACCACTGCAGCCAGGACCAAGGGATGCTATGTCCAGTGAAATGGCACTGGATATGGAGACCACCTGGTTACAGAGACCACGCTTTGAAGGTCCCTTGAGCGGTCTTCTTAGGCAGGTTTCACTGTACGAGGGAAATCCTGGAAAGTATGGGCTGAGAATTCACTATATGCCATGAACTTGTTGGCTCCGAAGAACTTCCAAATCTTGAAATTCACCCGGGAAAAGTCCCAATGGGTAGTTGTATTACATTGATAGTATAGTAAAACTTGTAACTAAAGACCACCGTGACTAACGACCAGCCTGGTACTAAAGACCACTTCGCCAGGCACGGGCTGCCTCACGTTCATATATCGTTGTGCGGTGTAAGCCTCTAACTAAGGACCACCTGCCACTAAAGACCGCTTTCTCTGGGTCCAAGAGGTGGTCGTTAGTCACAGGTTTTTACTGTACTTGCATCTTTTGTTAACCCTCTTTTCATATGTGGCTGTGTTCTTTTCTGTGTGTGTGTGTGTGTGTGTGTGTGTGTGTGTGTGTGTGTGTGTGTGTGTGTGTGTGTGTGTGTGTGTGTGTGTTTGGTGTTGCAGTGAGGGACGGCTTGGACGGTGTGACTGCAGCCTGGATAACTTCAAACCTTGCATCCAGTAAGACATTATCATGTTTGGAGTTGACCCCTCTTGGTGTAAGGGGGGGGGGGCAGCAAGACTGAGAGGGAGCGTGCGTGTGCGCGCGCGCGTGTGTGTGTGTGTGTGCATGTGTGTGTGTGTGTTTGGGTGAGTGTGTTCACCCGCATCAGGGCACGCGTGTGCGTGGATTTGTGTGTGCAGGAGTGTCTATTGTGATCAAGGGCACTAGCGAATCCCATATCAGATACCGCCCGATTTATCAACACGCAATAGCATTGACTATATCCGTAGCTTGAGACGAAAGAAATTCAAACTGGTGATCTGATGTTATCAGTCCTTTGTTTGCTCTGATGCTGTCAATGTTTGGGTTTCCTGCATCCTGTCCTTCCTTACCTTTTCCCATGTGTGGTTTGTCTAGTATGGGGTTCCATGTAACTGAGATCCCGTCTGATCAGGCCCGCCTGTTCTGTGTTTTCCCCAAGGCACCAGGGATTTTAGTCTATTTGTATTCATCCCCATGATTGATCCTGTTTGCAAGCTGGCTGGCCGCAGTTTATCCACACGGCTGTTGACCAGCCTTGACTGGAGTTGTTGCATGTGCAGCCCATTTATCAACCAACTCGGGCGGGTATGTAACCAAGAGTATATCAACCCCCAAGAGTGTGCAACTCCTAATACCCTTTCTATGGGGTGTGCCGACGGCGAAAACTCACATCATGTGGTGCAGTGTTCCAGTTGTACGTTTCCAGCCCATTTCTAGCGAGAAGCGGAGTAATAATAAAAGCACTCCCTGACAGAAACTCACTGTGCGTACGAAACTTGCCGGCATAATCATGGCAGATTTTCGGATTGTGCGCACGCTATCCTTAGTTGGACGTAGTACAAAAGGTACCTGAGACACTGGATGTGAGTTTTCGCCGTCGGAGACCCCATAGGGCCATGTGCAGAGTTGCACACTCTTGGGGGTTTACATGTATATACTCTTGATGTAATGTATAACCACCCGTTGACATCTGACACTGGTCAGATGTGCTGATATTCTTGTGTGCTAATGCACTTGATGGTGGTGGTATTGTGTGCTGTCACCGTGTGTGTGTGCTGTCACCGTGTGTGTGTGCTGTCACCGTGTGTGTGTGTTGTCACCGTGTGTGTGTGTGTTTGTGTGTGTGTGTTTGTGTGTGTGTTTGTATGTGTGTGCGTGCGTGTGATCTGCTCTGTACAGGAACGGCACCAGTCTGGTCTGTAGTGACCGCGGAGACTGCGTTTGCCAGACTTGCCGCTGTGAGCCACTATCGGTACGTGTCTACGTGTCCGAGCAGTGCTGATCCGCAATATATCCACTGGCTCTATGTTCACTATCGTGGACTGTGGGAGCTAGTGTGCAAGCTTTCCGATGCTCAGCATTCCAACATCTGTTTTTTTGTTCTTTTACCTCATGCGTATGTACATGCACAGTCAACTTTGCGTATAACGACACTCGGCGGGGCATCAGAAAAGTGTCCTTATTTGAGAAGTGTTATTCCCGAAGTCTCATTATATGTATTACAGTTAGATGGGACTTTGGTCTGGACATGGAAATGCTGTCGTTATTCACGAATTGGCATTATATCCGCTGTCGTTATTAGCGAAGTTGATTGTATGTGTGAGCAAGAGTACATGAAAACCAGAGTGTGCAGCTTGGGGCCTTTTCTGCTATGGGTGTCTGTCACGGCGAAATTCCGTGATTACATCATATTTGGCCCAGATCTGAGGCGGGAAATGGCGTAGTGCGTACAACTGAGCTGCAGTTGTGCAGAAAGAGACCTGCTTGAATCCTGCTTGTACGCACTACATCACTAAAATGATGTAATCACGGAATTCCGCCGTGACAGCCACCCATCCGAGCTGCACACTCTGGTTTTCATGTACTCTTGGTGTGAGTGGCTTTGCTCATAGAGTCAACCTTGCAAATTAGCAACCCTGGATTGGAGATGTGAACGGTTTTGTGACCCATGAGTTCAGTGTTGTGATCCATGAGTTCAGTGTTGTGATCCATGAGTCATGTGTTGTGACCCATGAGTTCAGTGTTGTGACCCATGAGTTCAGTGTTGTGATCCATGAGTTCAGTGTTGTGATGTGTGTGGTTGAGAGTAGTGTATGTAGTCACATGGACCCTAGATATGAAAAGAGGTTTACGGTGTTCGTGACTCGGACTGAGAGTCAAGGATTCAAGTGAAAACAGAAGGACCAAAGGCTTACAAGATATCTGTTGTTTTTGTGAGTTGTTGTTCCCAAAATTGTTATTAATCAGGTTGACTGTACAGTCAGATCTCGCTTATCTGGTCCTCTTTTATCCGGATTCCTCGCCAGCCGGAACAAAATCGTTGGTTACCGATTTACAGCATATGGCATGCATACATACAGTATCGGTGTGTTCCATTTTCCGGTTCCCTCGCCTATCCGGATATATTTTTGTGGAAAACGGATGTGTGTGAGGTTAAGCAAGGTCTGACTGTATGTATGTTTGTGTGTGTGTTTGTGTTTGTGTGTGTGTGTGTGTGTGTGTGTTTGTGTTTGTGTTTGTGTTTGTACAGAATGGTACGTACTGTGAGTGTGACAATGGCAACTGTGAACGCGGCGGAGAAAACAATGAACTTTGCTCTGGTAAGCCACTAGCTACGCTGCTGCAGTGTGCAAAGTTGCAACTGATGTAGGACCGCCGTGTGCCTTCTAGACGAATTCCCACATCCAGCCCTGACTGTGTCCGCCACCCCGTGTGACCTGTCTACTTTCTAGATCTGTATGTGTAGATGCTGACAAGCATATGAACATGTCTGTATGCCTGTGTGTAGCACCTTGCGTGGGTGCTTACCTAATATTCCAGTGCTCAATCTGCGGACGGCATGCTGTTTCGTCCTTTGTGGAGTCAACAGCGTAGCCTACGCAATGCGACCAGCAAAGGCACTACCCCACGTGAGAGTGTGTTCAACTGCTACAAGAGCAGGAGCGAAATACAGTGGAACCTATCTAAGACGACCGCTCGTGGCACCTTCAAAACGTAGTCTCTGTTACCAGGTGGTCTCCTTATCCAGGGTCATTTGACTGGAAATAGCATCCCTTGGTCATGGTTTCAATGGTCTTCTATTGCAGGTGGTCGCCTTATCC